TCACATGTTCAGTGGCAGAAACCCAGGTGCCTAGAGATCATTAATGGTGGAAACTCCAGCACGTAGGGATTTTAGGTGCCTCCAGGGTTAAGCGGCAGCTGAGCAGGGAGTTTGAGGATCACAGTGGTGCCTAAGAGTTGGATGTCGATGCCTACAGTGGCAGTCAGGCACCTTAGTCTTTTTGTGGATCTATCCCTTACTGACTTTTGAATGCTTGTTGTGCATCCTTAGTGGTCTCTTAACGTGTTTTTTTTTGATTATTTGCTTATTTTGCATATTAGTGCTGAAGTTATAATATTCTTTTGCACAGGCAGCAAAACTAGACAGTTATGCAATCAAAATATAGATGCCATAACCCCCAGTGCTAGAGGTTAGAGCTCAGGATATTGATTGAGCATTAAAGAGTGTCTTAGGAAAAGACACCATGCAGTGGCAAGAGTAGTATTCTAAGAGAAAACTGGTTTAGGGGTACGTTGCCATCCGCTAAGCAATGCAGTAGAATCCTGTTTTTGTACTGCCTTTCAGAGTGGTAGAATCTCTGATTACTTGCCTTAAAGAAATTTAAACATGCTCATTTCTTATACTTTAGCATACGTTAAAGATTTTGGGCCTGTTTCAATACTGCATTACCTCAGTTTTACTCAAATGTAACTCAGTTTCAGTGAAGTAACACTTGCAGAAAACTGGAGCAGCTAAGTGCTGGATCAGGCCTTTGAGTTCTGTAATAAGAGCACATCATCCTTTTGGAATGCCCAGGTTTACCTGATCCTCATACCTACTGGGTGGGGTCACATGGGTGAATCTTTCATAGTTCACAGTACGTGCACATTTGAGTTCACAGAGCTTTGAAAGCTCTGAAAGTAGCCAGATTACAGCCACCCGCCCCCGCCCTGCTGAGCCCAGCCACCAGCACCTGGATCCCCTGCAGAGTCCCATTGCTCCTGAACCCCACAATGAGCCCCTGTGCATCCAGATCTCTCACTGAGCTGCCCACACCCAGATTGCCCCACACCTAGATCCCTCCACACTTAGGTCCTGCTGGGCTGAGCCTGCCTACCCACACCTGGTGCGCCTGGCACAGAAGGGCAGGCCCAGCCCTTGCACTGTGCCAGGGTCAGGTGCAGCCTCACTGCTGAGTCCCTGTATTGGGGGAGGTGGGGGCTTCAGGGTGATCTCCCACCTCCATGCAGCCACCCTCCCACTGCCATGCTGGAGCCACATTTATTTATTGACAAATTAAATTTCAGAATTTGGGTGCATAATTTTTAATGCATAATTCCCTCAGTAATATAGAATACATGAAGATGTTCAGAAACAGGCAAATTCAGGGTCTTTTACAGTTGGCAAAGAATTTCTGGCTCAGAAGGTATGATGTTGTGCTCTAGACTAAGCTGTTGGTGACCACTAAGCCTGGCACCATTTAAAAAAACAAATCATCCCATCATGTGTAACCCTTCAACTAGCATTCCCTGCCTCAGTGTTGTTTTGCCTTATGATTCAGAAGACCTCTGATGGGCTCCAGGGACTTCTAAGTAGTAAACAGTAGCGCACAAAGTGGTGTATTTAGGGCTAGAGTGGGAGGGTTCCAATGGGTGTCTCAAGAGATTGTACAGCACACAGCAAGACCTTGGTCTGTTTACTAGGTAAACCTTGATCCTGTGACACCATTACAGTTTTTTTTTTTAATGTGGCATATAATTAACATACACTTTAATCATGACTGCTTCCTTTAAATAGACAGCATGCAAAGTGTCTCAACTCCCTAGAGAATACTAACCTATAATTAGCCTAATTGGCCACTGGATGTCAGTATCTTGTCACAGAAATACAGCTTCAAGAACATTTTTCAGGTTGCAGAGAAGGTGGCCTTTATCTTTTTTTTGGAATATGTTTAATTCATAACAACTTAATCTCCTTTTCAGACCCTATCTTCCCAGAGCACTACTTCTGCAAAGATAAAGATGGTGGTCTTGAGAGGGTCAGAAGGCTTCTGAAGTTTACCTCATAGCTATATGAAAAATTTTAGTCAGAAGAAGGTGTATGATTAGAAATGGCAAGAATTCTTAGGTGCTAGCACTATAGGTGATAAAGCCATTGTTCCATATGCCACTTAAAACCGTCTTTGACAGACAGTGTATTTACCAACATCATGGTTAACAATTGTCTTACAAAGTAACTATGTAAGAAACTAGCATAGCTCCCATTCACTTCAGTAGGAGCAAGGACTAAACCTGCTTTCCATGAGCATATAAACAATGAAGCAACCTTACATTCTATTGTTATAATTTAGCTGAAAATAAGAATTTCTAGTCAGGGGTTTACCTTAGACTGTCACAAAAATAAAAATCCACCCCACCCCATCCCCAAAACTATTCCAAAGCAGTGAGCAACCGCTAGGAGTCGTCTGTTAGCCTGATGGGTAGTTTAACCTTTACAAGCAAACACATTTCACCTGTGCTGGTTACAGATAAATCCAATGCTGGGTTTGCCTGATGTTTAAATTGCTTACAAAAGCACAGCTACCATTGAACTCAAAGGGAGTTTTGTACGTTCAGTATTGGGCAATAGCTGCTAGTTATGCCACTGGCAGGTGGGCTCTAGTCTAAGGTAGTGCACATGCAGATGCATTTGCCTGGCTGAAAACAAAATTTTCTAACAAAGGCTGGTTTATTGAAATCAAAATGACTGGGGTAGAGGAGGGAGAAATCTGCTATACAGGGAAATTTACTGTCCTTTATACGCTGCATCGAGGCACTACATCAAGTCAGTCAGCCATTCTGTTTGTCCCTATACTGAGAGTGTGTGACTGAAAAGCGCTCACGTGATATTTATAGCACATTGGCATTAGAGCTTCTCTTGCTACCACCAACCCAAGAAACAGCTCATGTAGTTCAGCATGTAATGCCCCACATTACCAGAAGATGGCCTGAACTGAGCATGGCGTTCTTAACACAAGCGGTTTTCATTGGTGATGAAAAGTGTTTTTAAGCCTGGTCAATTTGCATGAAGGAATGATGGCAGTTGAGCACACCAGGTAGGTGGCAAGAGTTCTGTGAAATGTAAAGGAGTACGTGGCCATGAGACCTGGAATTGTCTTGTTGTTGAGACTTAATAGTCTTCAACCAAGGCAGAAAACAAAAGGAAATCAGTCATAGCTTTGACAAGAGAAGTGACCTAACCCAAGTGGTGATAGTAAAATAAGTTTTATAGATAGGAGGGTGCTGAAGATTCATTGCACTTTGAAAGTATTTAGGCAAACAGAAAGTGAGATATACCTGGACATGTTTTTATGTGTATACATACATACACAGAGTCGGTGCACTTCACTAACAGATGAACTGCAATGCAAGGGATTGGATTTGTGTATTTAGGTTTAGGATAATTACAGCTGGAAAGAACCAAATTATATCTCCTCTTGGGTCCAGTCCTGCTTCCACTCAAGTTGATGGCAGCCAAATTGGGCCATGTATTAGCAATGTGGAGAAACAGCTTCTTTAGAAGAAAATGAAATGGGGTCTTACAGGGGCCAAAACTGATTAATTCTCCTCAAATTTATTAGACTGAGATTATCATCTTCACCACTTCTAACTTCCAGAGCTGCACAGGCAGGACTCCACAGTGGTTGTATGGGTTAAGCACTCCTGTAATTCAAAATCTGTGAAGACCTATTTAAATAAAACAGAGAGAGAGACTTTTTGTGTTTGAGTCTGCTTAAGTTATTCCCGATCATGTAAGTAGGAGCCAAGTAAGCTGTAGGTTTTGGGGGGCATGTGGGCAATTCCCTGACATAGTGTCACTGAAAAAAAAGGGGGGGGGGGAACTAGCCATCATGTGAATTTGTGTACGGCATCCACTAAAAATGTTAAAAAATATTGCAACATGATGGGGTTCATTTGTAACTTCAATGTAGACTTAAAATCCCACTAGCGTTACAGTTGCTGAGGAAAAATATGGTGGGTGGGTTTTTTGTTACTGTTTTTGCCTCTTTATCCACACAACTCACCTCCAGAAGCAGAGACAAGATGGAAAAGCAATTCCTTCTCACCCTGAGCCCCAGTCACGTCTTCATTTATTTGTCTTTGCTTTCCTTTGATTGTGGGGTGGTGTTAACCTTATTTTTCAAATGACTGGTTTCTCTTTGTGTCCCTTGTGACACGGTGGTAGTCCTATAAGTAATCAAACTTGTACTTTTCACTGCAAAATAAACAATAATAGTCATTCATTTTTAGAAACCAGCATGGAAATGCAATGCAGCCTTCTGTCAAGGATAACAGTGGTAGCCATGGCTCTCCAATCAGTGGGAAGTTGGAAGGCATCTTCTTTAGCTGCAACACTGAGTTTAACACGGGGAAGCCACCACAAGATTCACCTTATGGAAGATACAGGTTTGAGATTGCAGCCGAAAAACTTTTTAATCCAAATACTAACTTGTACTTTGGGGACTTCTACTGCATGTACACAGCTTATCACTTTGTCATTCTTGTTATTGCCCCTGTTGGCTCACCAGGAGATGAATTCTGTAAGCAGCGCCTTCCTCAGCTAAATTCAAAGGATAATAAATTTCTGACCTGCACCGAAGAAGATGGCATCATGGTTTATCACCATGCCCAGGATGTTATTTTAGAAGTAATTTACACTGATCCTGTGGATCTTTCCCTTGGCACAGTTGCAGAAATTACTGGTCATCAGGTAATGAGCTCGTCTACTGCAAATGCAAAAAAAGATCCCAGTTGCAAGACCTGCAACATCAGTGTTGGACGTTAATCCCTACCCCACTTTACTTAGGAGCCTTTGAACCTCTGTTGTCCATTTCCATTGTCAGATGTTCTCTTCAGAAGCATGCACATGCCGCTGTCACCAAAAGCAAACACCAGTTTTTCAAATACATTAATAGCATTTTTAATATAACTTCCCTCTTTCCTTCTAATAGTTTTTAGCATTAGAGGAACAGAAATCTTGAATTTTCTTTTTGACAACATTTACACCTAGATGCTGCAATTTTTGTTTGTTCCTGGCCAAACATAACAAAAACCTATATAAACTGCTTTAGCAAAATAAAAATAATGGCTTATAATGGTGTTTAAATATGCATTTATTTTAATCTACTGAACAAACACTGGGATAACTCCAAACAGCATGAAAGGTTGTAATTGCAGCATGATTTAAATCTTGAAGCCTAGAAATGTCAGCACTTCCAACTTGTTGTTTGACAGTGTTATTTATATTAGCTAACTGGAAACAAAAATTGTGTTTAAACATAATAAATATAATAGAAAAATATTTTATTTGTACTGTTGTATAAAATATTATACAATCATATAGAATATATAGAGTACATTTTAATAGCAATTGTATACATATGTCATGAAACCATTTTCTCTTATCAAAGATGTAGTTTGTAAACCTCAAATAGTTGTGTATCTGTTCCTGTTGCTCTTAGATTACTTTAATTAAAACAGATTTAGAAAGGAGATCATTCTGATCCATAAAAGTTATAAATTGTCAAGTCAATACAGTGAAACAGCAAACCTCATAGAAATAAAAAAAAATCCACATTGTGTAGTGGTCATACTTTTTCCTCCAAACCATTTGAAAATGGGTACTACTTAAAATCATGCTGAAGCATTACATACAATATAAATACAAACGTGATTGGTATAGAATAGACTTCGGAAGATGAACATTTCCTTAAGATAGCAAAACAGGTGGCTTATACGCAGTTAATACAAAATGTCAATTTAAACAAAACACTAAACATGATGCAACGCATTTCCTTTTTAACCTCTTCCTTCATGTTTGGGTTAGACATTTTCCCTGCCTTTGATTTGTAATGAAAAATACAAAATGCTGACAATCCTTCTGTGAAATATTGCACTTTACACAGAAATGATTATCACAAGAGTGAGGAAAATCCCTTTACATTACAAAGTGGGGTGTGCTGAAGGATGCATAATTCCAACAGAAAAATATTTTTGTAGTCTTACTTTTAGGAAACAAGAAGGCCAGAGTTCCTCATCTCACAACCATGACGTTCAATTATATACTGCATACATTTATCTATCCAAAATATCTTGTCAGAATGCAATAAACTATTCTCATTATTTTAATATAGATATCTAACACAGGAAATACTTTAACATTTTACAAAGTGCATGCTTCCAAACAAGCTTTGGTAGTCCGAAAAGCAAAATTTTATAGCATCAGGCAAAATAAAGTGCTATGTTTAATACAGAACTAAAAATCAGCATGTATGATCCATTTATTTTACTGAATTTTGTTTAGGGTACTATAAAAGTACTGCCAACCATATTTAACAGGCCAGCACCTAGTACCTTTACATTGTCTTATACTACCCTTTGGCAAACCTGAAACAAGCATTCCTTCCCTAACCAGTGAGTCCTTGTTGCTTTGCCAAATAGACGTTTTCTCATTTGCAAAAAACATGATTGCATTTGGCAGTTATTTTACCACTTTCTTTTTCTCCAGCAGCCTCAATTTACTCAGCTCCAAGAATTCAGGGCCAAATTTTGTCCATGTGTATGCACCTCTCTTTGAAGCCAATGGGAATTGCACCTAAGGGTAGAATTTGGTCTATAGGTTTTTAGTTAACATATGATGTTCTAAGTTGTTTTGCCTACAGTGGATTACACTGCTTTTGAGTGAGACAGAGTGGTGGATTTCTGATTATTTTTAGAATCTGGAGGGCATTCCCTAACGGATTATAAATTTTAAGGTAAAGCGGGTTAGACTAAGGGCCTAAACTACTTTACAGTGTCCCTTTAACTTCTAAGATTATCATAGTGCACTTCAAGGCTTTTCCAAAAGGAAAAAATACAGTTCACTCACTCCCGTTTACATACTCTTACACACATTACCATCCTCTCCTACTCTCAGTTAATAAGATTATTAAAGTGCATCAGATTCTCAGTGTGTCTAATAACTGTGCAGAAAGACCCAGACCTGTAAAATTCTTTTTGTTTGTTTGGGTTTTTGCTAGCAAACACTAGCTATGTATTTCATTGACTTCAAATTGTTTTAGAGACATCGTGCTTACTGATGAGAACCTCTAAGAGCCTGAGTTTGGCTTTGGTGTGCTTATATTCAGAGTACTCTTCAGCCATGGGGATGCGATCTTCCTTTTGCGGACTCCTGAAACAGTCAAACAGAGCTCTGTCATTTTATGACACAGAAGAAAAATGGTTTTAAAAATTATTTCTGCTGTGATTGTTTTTTATATTTGTTTCTAATTGTAGATGCCCGTAGACATATGAAAAGAGCACACTATCATGAAGTAGGATTATAGGAATGGCAATTAAAATACTGAATTCTGAGGTTTAGATTATACAAGGTAATCACATTTCTTGTCAGCTGTGTAAGTAATAATTACTTCACTCCAAGATATGCAGCTATATTGTTGTACAGTATTATGGAAAATATAACTACCATGGTACCACACTATGGTTTTCTTTTTGAACCATATATAGACCGGCTCCAATACCCAGGGAAATCCATGGAAAAGCTCCCATTGATCCAGAGGGCATTGGACTGAGACCATAGAGTCTGAGACCATACAAGTTCTTTCTGCTGCTATTTATCACAATAGGAAATCATCCTGACCTACCTGAGATCACTCAAGGAGTTAAAGTTGTTTTCATTCAGGACATGTCATGAATTCAGTAGCATTTAAGCAAATTGAGCAATTTTAATATTATACCCTCACACATTGCTCCTTATCAGAGCAATATTGTGATGTGAAAGTGTGAGGGGGCCACATTTTTGAAAAATTAGAATAAAAGCTCACCTTGTTTTAGGTATAATCTGGAATTTACCAATAAACCCCCAACACAGTCCTTCCCAAAAAAACCAAAACAGAAAAAAACTTCATCAATAAGATCTGTATTAAAACCAACAACAAAATGGCTCCTCTCTGCTCACAGGGACTAATCCAAAGCCCACTGAACTCAGTGGAAAGACTATTGATGTCAATGGGCTTTCGACCAGGCCCATACTACCTACACTTCTGGCCACACCTAGCCCATTTAAGAAGACAGAGTTGACTGCCACCAACATACCAGTCATGGTAAAAAGTCTCCAGGAAAGTTCAGCTTTACATTTATAAAAAAAACCAACACTACCTATTTGTCTGCATATAAATTCTGTAAATCAGGAGATCCTAGTAGTGCATGTGTGGCAGACACAGCTGCTGCTGGACTACTCCAGCCCCTGACTAGGGGTTACATTGCTCCTTCTGTCAATAAGCCTAGGGAAGGAAATTTCTGGACTGATCCTCTGGCAGAGTTCCCTGTGGATCTGCGAGGGGTGGCTTTTCCCCCTCACAGGATATGTTTTGTTATGGGGGCTACCCTAAACCTGGAAGAACTTCTGCACAGATCCTGGAGGAATTGTCTGAGCAAAAAAATCATCTCCATAGAGTCCTGATGCCTCCACGGTGCTCCCAACAGTCCCCTTCCAATCCTGGGCTGTAGCTACCCTTGGGATTCTCAAAGCACAAAAGATAACAGAATCCCACCCACCCCTCACCAGCCCAATTACTACAGGTAAGTCCCTGCTGCTTAAGAATATGTTCTTTAATGGAAACATAAAAATCTGCTTAAAATACATGAAAAAGGTTTTGTTTTACCTTCCTGTTTGTTTAAAGAACTGTTCCTCAAATTCTCTCAGAGCTTTGCGAAGCCGTTTCTTATCAGCTCTTGTTTCTCTGAGATGTTCAAGTAGCACAGGCCTACAAAGGAGGTAGAAGAAGTTGAAGCCTATGTGGACTTGGAAATAGTTAAAACATTAGGGCTGGATGTGGCCCTTCAATATGCGCACAGTGACAGGGGTGTCTATTCATCTCAGTGCAGAATTAGACCTGTTAAATTCAAGGAATCCTAAAATTTTCTTCCAAGTCTGAGTATAATGGACTTATGATAGCACAAGTGTAAATCTGCAGCATTTCCTTGCTTTTGGTGTCATTCACACTCCTCTAACAAAGGGAATGCAGAGAATCTATGGAAGGAAGCAATAAAACACTCCGGCCCTAATCCTATGGGCACCCTTAGTTCTATGTGGAGTTCATGGTGCTTGGCATCTCACAGGACGCACATGGCACCTTACAGTTTCAGGCCCATAAGTAACAAAGGGGATAAACGATTAGCAGCATAGGACCTGATCCTGCAAACACTTACCATCAAATGCAGTGCTGTTTATTGTGAGTCAGTGGAACTGCACATTGTAGTAAGAACTAGGCTGGGCAGCGTTTGCAGGATAAGGTCCTTAGGCAGAAGATAAAACACTTTCAGAATATGTCCTAAAAGATACTGTTTCATAATAATGTGATGCGCTGAGAAATCTCAGCAGCACTTCTGCATGCTGCATCATTTACACAGTGTGAGTTCCACAGAACAACATATATTCTTGTTATCTTCACTCACTTGGTAGGACCGAACAGACTTTATTCATGCCTCTGACTCTCAGGTGTCAATCAAAGCACATGGGAAATACAAGGAATATTATAAGATATGAGATCATATTCATCCATAGCATGTGTTTTAATCAATGAGCACCAGGGCTGAATGACATCAGCACACATGCATCCCCACAATTGAACAACGTGACCATAATCTGCCCTTTCCATAGAAACACAAAACATAACAAGATTCCAAATCACCGTTTGTATCACTTTTTGGAGTCTGTTGACACCCTTGTTGACAGCAATAATTTTCTTTGACAAAGATATAGATAGAATTATGTTAACATAGTGAAAATACATGAACAATTATACCAGGCCAGACTGAATTTACAATAATTCTTACAGTCTACTATTGTACATTTTAGAAATGTGATAATATAATTCAGATTCTTCAGTTGAAAAGGTGTCCTCTTTCACATCAGTGACACTACAGTTGTGAAATATGAAATGTAACCAATAGAACTGCAATATATAAATGAAAAAAAACTAGCCTGGTTGGTCAAGCCACCACTAATATTGAAGTCTCCTTATCCAACGTGTGTTATTCCACAAGAGTCTTAAGAAACTAAGTAGATAAATGTCTACATTTTCTGACAAGAAATAGGTAAGTCAACAAATCATTTATACTATGTCATTATGTGGTATCTACCTATTTGCATATCATTATTTCTCTTATATAGGTATAGTCCTCTGCCTCTCTCTTTCTGGATTTAGGCAGATCGCCCTAGAGCTGTCTGAATTACACAAAGTACAGCAAACTACAGGTAAGTTGATCAAATAAATATCCTGTCTCTACTTTCTCTCATAAAAAGGAAATAACTCAATCCTTAGGTCTAGAGCTTCCTGACACTTGGGAGATTCTGACAGTAAGTATAGATCATGCTGTGACTAGAACATGTAAGTGGTTTGTTTTGTTTTTTGATGTATTAAGAAAAACTGCAACACTCACATTGTGGCCTCATGTAAATTGGACAGAGATAGGGCTGATTGTTTGATTGCCTTTTTTTCATCCAGAGGTGAAACAATTGCAGGCTCATTCTCCTCATCTGAGCAATACAGATGGTCATCTACAGGAAGGTTAGATGCCAGATTGGATGATGATTCATGGCTGCTTTGAGAATGGTCTTCATCTGAATCTTCTTCCTCCTGCTTGTAATCATTATCAAATTAGCTGTCTACATGTTATTATTTATTGAAAATACAAGAGGTTACAGGTATTAAAACCAATAGCTAGACACACTTTGAGATTTTTCACTACAACCGCTAATGGGACAAATTGCTTTGTAAGACATTACTTGCCATGACTAAATGTGGCAGAATCTGGCCCTTACTTCCATAAGTAGCTCTACTAATTACTTACTGTTGATTACTCATACAACAAAAAGTTTGCAAGAACATGCCTTTAAATAGGATTTAGGGCATGATTCTGAAACCTTTACTCATTAAACTAGTCCCATTGAAATCAATTAAACTCCCCACGTGAGTAAGGTTTGCAGTGAGAGAGCTCTTTGTTTAATTCTCCATAAAGTAAACTTGTACCATTTAGTGTTAACAGTCTTCATAAATTAAAGCTACAATATGCATAAAAGAATCATTCTAGAGGTATTTTTAGGGTTACAAATGGTTTTAGCAAAAAAGGACGACCACATTGCAACACATTTTATAGTTATACTACAGTACAAGATGATGAAATTTTCCACCAAAATATGGGCTTTTTTAAACTGTTATTTATAGATTTTTAAAAATGCATGGACCAAAGTTCATTAGACGTTAACATGAAGGAAGCTTTAAAGAGATTCTGAAGTAATAAGGTTATGGCTGGGATTTTCAAAGGAATCAATGAACCCTATTGAAATTCAATGTGAGTAGGGTGCCTAACTCCCTGAAGCTCATGTGGAAGTCCCATGCTAATATTACCACAAGATGTGGAACAAGGCTATGTAATTACAATAACTCCTCACTTAGTCATCCTGTTTCATTGTTACGTTGCTGATCAATTAGGGAACATGCTCATTTAAAGTTGCGCAATCCTCCCCTATAACATTGTTTGGCAGCCACCTACTTTGTCCACTGCTTGCAGGAAAAGCAACCTGTTGGAGCTAGCTGGTGGGGGGGGTTGGAACCAGGGTGGATCGGCAGCCCCCCATTCGCTCCCTGCTCCCCTAAGTTCCCTGTGTGGCAGCCACCCAGCAGGCTTTCAATTGCCGGCAGTTCAGCTGTCCCTCTCCACATTGCCCTGTGCTGCTCCTGCTCTCTGCCTTGGAGCTGCTCCGGGGAGCCTCCTGCCTGCTGTGCGGGGGTGGGGGACTGGAGGGTGCTAATGTCAGGGTGTCCCCTCTCCCGCCTGCTCCTGCCCCCATCTCCATAGAGCGGGGGGGGACACGACAGGGCTCAGGATGGAGGGAGCTTGCTGGCAGCAGCTGCTGTCTCAACTTGCTGATCTACTTAAAAGGGCAGTGTACTTAGAGTGGGGTCAATGCATGTCTCTCTCTCACACAGGGAGTATGTCTCTGTCTCTCTCTGCCATGCTGTCTCCCCTTCCCTCCATTTGTGCTGCCTTGTAGAGTGTGAGGCTACATTAACAACATATTAACCCTTGAGGGCTTAGCCGAGTGCTAGTTCATCATTTAACAGTAAGGCATTCCCTGGGAAATATCCCACCCTCTGACTCCACCTACTCAACAAAGCTTCACAATCATCATTGCTGTGTACAGTATTAAATTGTTTGTTTAAAACTTATTGTGTGTGTGTGTGTGTGTGTGTGTGTGTGTGTGTGTTCTTTTGTCGTAGGAAAAAACAAAAAAAAAACTA